GGCAGGTCGGTTCACAGAAGAAGCCGGGCAGGCAGCTGGACCCCATTGTTCCGTGCCCCCTCTTCAATATGTCATCTGCAGAGGGGTTGATTGGCTCAGCCCTGGCCTGGGGTGGGTCCAGCCTGAAGCTGGGGAAACTTCCAGCAGTTTCTCACAGGGGCTAGGTTGGTGGTACTCCTTCCTGCTAAAACCTTTGGAGCCAGGGGTGGGGGTGAACCCTTAGCAGTCACTTACAGGAGCCACCACCGCAGCCCTTCCCTTGCTGCCGGCAGAGCTGGAGTCCAGGTCCTTTAGCAGCTGCTTACAGGAGCCATTACTGCGGCCCTTCCCTGCTACCAGACAAACCCCCCCCAACAAAACACAACAGAAGTGTAGTAATCCACGTGTCTTATCTCATTGCAAGTCCTTTCTACTACAGTAACCCAAGGCAACCCTCAAAAAGAAGGTTGCAGTAATCTTGTAGAGAGGGCTCTGCTCTCCTGTCATACATCCATCTGCCATCATCAGGTACTTAGTATCTACTTTTTATTCCATAAAGTGATGAAAAAGCTATGAAAATGTACAAGAAAGTCTGCAAACAGATATACCTTGTTAGTATGGGCTTGAATTGTGAGAGAGTATTTGAGGAGGTTTTGAATAGATTTTTGCCATTTCTTGTTTCAGAAAACTACTTTGACCTCTTCAGAGACTGTTCTCAGAAGCAAACATATTTAAAAGCCACAAGCTAATAAAAACCACATTACCCTTCAGGAATGTGTCCCACAACTTCTAGCCTGTAGACGTATTCCATATCAGCATAGTAGCAGGCAATGGATGTAGCAATTATCTATTGATTCAATACAGAAAAAGATGTTATGTTTCTACTGCTTTTAGCTTCTCACATGGTCCCTGTTATTGCCATACCTAAGCACGTGACAGTGTTCATGTATTTATCCTTACATCAATCCAGCATGACAGGGGAGTATATTATAAAAAACTTTGCAAATGTGGAAGAGAGGCAAAAGAAACTAAGATCGGGTTATTTGCTTAATCCTTAAAGTACATTTTTTCAATGCAATACTTAATTTCAATTTAGCCTACGCCATGTGAAAGGAAAACTGTAAGGAAAATTACAGAAAGCCACAGCATAGGTAGTTAACTTTGTTGAAGATAAATAACAAGCAACATCTAAACCACAACTACCCAGCACAAGCCTTGCCTGGAGCTGCAATGTGCCAGTTACTTTTCATTTTCTGTTTCAAACTTCTTACACTTTAATATCCTAGGCTTCATGTTCTTGTGATTATGTAAAAAGTAGTAAACACATGAAAAATATTGTGCAAATTGGGAACGTATGTCACTTCTTTCTTAATTATTTAACCAAACTGTTTCCTGTTCCTACATTTAGCATACAGCCATGGAAATTAGCTATTCATTTAATAAGTGGCAGGTGTGGCTGTGGGTAGCTATAGACAACACAGTAAACTGCAGCAGATTAGCTGTACTACTGAAAGCTTTGTAAAACAAGAAGTCCGATGTTTGATTTTGTACTTACCAAAACGAGATCGATGGGAAGAACAACTTTAATGTTTCTCTGAAATTTCTCGTTAAGTTCTTTAACAAGAACAAGCACCACAATGCTCAGCAACGAGAGAAGTAAAGCCTCCAACTGAACTGATCCAATATTCTCAAATATGTAGGCATAAATCTACAGTGAACAACAAATAAAAAACATAGATCTAAAAATACATCATTCTAGGTCACAGTCTGTAGCATATTCTGCACAACTTCAGACAACTTAAAGTATCCATGAGAGCTGAATCAATACTGCGGGAGCCAAGTCATCTGACAAGCTGGCCTTCACCTGAGATTTTGCAAGGAAGAAAATCACCATTTTATTATTGCTATTGATGAAATAATTTAGAAATTATGTAGCTGAATTTAGTTGGATATTGCAGCATACAAAGCAATTTTTTGTCATTATATAATTAAAATTAAAAATACAGCAATAATATATTAATTGAGCTGTTTGCCTCTTGGTTTTTACTTTTATTGCTAGTTTTGCATGAAGATTTTTAATGCATATCATCTGGCAATATTATGAGGAATCAATGAACATTCTGGCAATCAATAAAAATTTGCACATAAGTGAAAAAAGCAATATTCTAACTTTGCATACATACGTATAGAGACACTGAATGTAGAGACACAGAGACAGAGAATGTAGTCTCGTGGGAAATCAATGGCTTTGAGTTCCACTCTGTTTTCACATACTTTCATTGCGTAATAATGAACATTGTAATCGTTTATATTCTAGAAAGAATGTGTATTCTGATACACTAATGAAATGCTCCAAGTTATTTTTTTTTTAATGTATACATGAAGACCCAAATGACTAGTTCTAAAATGAGTACAGAGGTTGAAGGAAATAAAAGAATTAAAGGAGCATATTAGTTAAAACACCTAACACAGCTGAAGAGTAGACAACCTCATTGCATTTTCAGAAATGTTTCATTCTGATGTTCGTTAAACAACTACAACACACTGTGGGGAAAAAAGCACAGTCAACTACTGTGAACTGTATAGGGAACAAACTGGGGGAAAAAAAGGGGAAAAAAGGACTGATAGAAGGAACATGAAGGTTTTTTCAGCTAATTGCAGTTTAACCAGAAGGATTTTGCAACAAACTTGCAACACAACCACAAAAGACCCTGTTTTGCAAAGTAGTTTTCTCAGGTTGCAGTTCATTTTGCATTGCTGCATTTTCTCAGAAACTTGTGGATGGATAAATATGTCTACACATGGGTAAAGGGCAAATATAGATGTGATTTTCTGGTTTCAGATACTAAGTAAAACCTGATGGCATTTTTCTTGCCTCTTGTAAAAATTAGATCTCAAAATTAGACCTCCACCATTTTTCATCTTCACCTTGCTTTTCCATTTGCAAAACACCAATTCATGCTGCAATGTGCATCTCAATTGCAGTGTCATAAACCATGTACAGGGAAAATGAAATTTAACAAATTACGTAAACTAGGTGTAAACACAAAAATCCCATAGGCTCAACACCAGTGTAGTAGATTTGTTCTCCATATGCAAAGTTCATTTTTTACATATTTAATCATGATCTCACTTGCTATAAAGAATCCATTTCACTGGCTTACTTCACTTTCAACTCTCCTATCACACTTTATTAAACATTCTTATTCTTGCTTTGCCAACCCAATGGCTGCCTGAGGCAAAGCAATTGGCTTTGTGAGTGGGAGGTGTTTGGGAGTGAAAAAAAGAAAAAAAATATAAGCAAAAATACCAGTCTTTGGGTTTCAAGAATTTGGAGTAAAAAACATGTCTGGAGAAACACGCCAAATTTGCCTTTTACTCTCTAGTTAGATGTGAACATTAACATATATCTAATTAGTATATAAAAAAAATTATTGTTAAAACCTAAATTGTGTGCTTTTGACTGAGACATCGGACCTTCTGAAAGCAACTCATAAGTGTGAACAGACACCGGAAACCTTTTAAAACATTTGCGTAGTAAAATTGTTTCTTCTAAATATGGAGAAATTTTATTATTCTTTCAAGCTGTACAGAGGATTTTTTGTTTGTTCACTTGTTTTCACACAATTCTACAGAGCAATTCAGAACCTTAAAACAATCAAGAAAATTTTTCTTTGGAAAATATTTAAAGAGGTTTGATTTCAAAAGTGAAGTGAAGGGCAAAGAACTTATTTCAGTTTCATTTAAAAATACAAGGGATAAGGGAATAGATTTCTTTCAAAGCATTTGAATGACCTCATTTATGATATCATCAGCACACCAACATGGAAATTTTTCTTCATATCACTGCTGTTTTTTATTGTTGCTCATAATGTATATTTTGATTATGTCTTGGCTGTGGCACTTAACACCAGTCATCTCTACAATATTCCTACATGTAAGTGTAGTCGCCATGGAAACGCCATGAACAAGAGGCTAGCCACATTTTGTAAGAAGTATTCATGAAAAGGTTTCTACAGAATTAAAAAACATTCTCATATATGATGAATAATTTGTAATAGTCTCACTGACTACCCATTAAAAATGGCTATGACACTTTTAATTGTGTCCCTACAAGATAAATTTCTTGTGTTTATGATATGCCCCTAATTCTCATTAAGAAATTGGTCCTGTAAAAACCTTACCGGTGGATTATCCATACGAAATGTTATCAAATTTATAAAATACTACAAAATAACTTTCTAAAAAGCAACATCTTATCACAGAGTTCACATTAACAAATTTCCCAAAATAATAGGAACAAATAAGGAGCAGAGCCATGCAAGAAAGTATAGTGAGGGCTTTTAAATAAGGTGCCCTAATTTAGTGGCTAACTAGATGAAGCCTCACTTCATTTGGTAATCAATTCATTTATTGCTATCAGTGCAAGGTAAATATCACCTCAGCAAGTAAATAAAGTTTTATTATGAGCAAAACATCATTTTGACAGATAATATTGCAATACCACTAATGCTTCTGCAAAGAGATTATACTTACAGCACCTAAACTCAGGGTTTGCTGGAATGAGTTAATGCAAGGAATATGTTCTCATATATTTTATGCAATAAGATTATACAACTTTGCCCTTTAATGTTTCAGCCAACAATATCTACTTTCCAAAGGGAGTAACCATGATACTGTATGAAAGGCTGTACGCATTTTATAAAAAATACCTTAAAGTTGTTGTTCATGGCAAAGTAATATCATGTCATAAAGCAGTAAGTAACGTATCTAGGGTAATTTTTGAGTAGGAGATCCACAAATCATGGGTCATTTTCCTTTTACCACAATGATGCTCAAGTTTCATTCAGTAAAATATGAAGAAAATACATTTAGAATGATATTTGGATATATCTTTCTGATCCAGAAAGAGTTAACCATCCCTGTACAAGTTTGTAATTGCTCAGGATAATAAATGGAATTATTGATGCTGTAATACTGTATCCTTTCAAAATAATACCCACTTCTGTTAATTCTTCATCAAGTTTTCCTAATCTGTTCTTACAGAACAGATAAGGGAGACCTATAAGGGAGACTTTACTTAGCAGCCTTCCAGTACTTAAAGGGGGCCTACAGGAAGGACGGAGAGGCACTCTTCATCAGGGAGTGTAGTGATAGGATGAGGAGTAACCATTTTAAGCTGAAACCTAGTAGATTTAGATTAGATATCGGGAAGAAATTTTTTCCCGTGAGGGTGGTGAGGCATTGGCACAGGTTGCCCAGGGAAGCTGTGGATGCCCCATCCCTGGAGGTGTTCAAGGCCAGGCTGGATGAGGCTTTGAGCAACCTGGGCTAGTGGAGGGTGTCCCTGCCCATGGCAGGGGGGTTGGAACTAGATGATCTTTAAGGCCCTTTCCAACCCAGAGCATTCTGTGATTCTATGATACAGACAGATATAGCAAGATGAAGGTTTTGGTATTACATCTTTGGTTCATTCACACACATGCATAACAAATTTCTTACACTAGTCAAATAGCGTGGTTATTTAAGAAAATGTTAGCTAATGGAATAACCCATCTTTCTTACTGAACTCACATGAAAAAATCCCAGTGGTCCTGATATATATGGCATTTTAATTCCCAGGAGATACTTCACTTGTGAAGTCACAACATGTGTAGCTGCTCCTGTTGTCATTGCGCTTATCACTGGTTCTGTTAACAAGAAAGTGGCACTGCCCAACTGCAGCATAAACATTGCTACCTAAAAGGCAAAGGCATGAGTATCAGCAGTTATAACAAAATGCAGCTTCCTCATGATAGGACAATGAGACAGCGTCTTTTTAATAAATGAGATAAAGATAAAAAGCTAAAGTCTTGAAGGACAACGATAGCTGAAAATGGAACCCATTGAAACTTTGTGGATTTACCAGCAGTCTTACTCGCATCACTAGTTTACCAACCTCTAACATTGGTTTAGTAACAAAGGTGGACTCAAAGAAACTGTCTTCATGCAATGCTTAGTATTCTCTCCCGCTCAAACAAATGAGCACAATAAACATCATAAAAACATCAACTCAAAACAGCAACATGAAGTAAAGCAACTCCAAAGGTGAGGGTGGTTCCTGCTCTGCTGCTATTCAGCCTGAGTAGGAAAGGGGACGTATCTTAGTCCAGCTTACCGACTGCCAACATGTCGATATCGGGATTCCCAAAGTTAGCAATTTCAACAGCTACCAAATTTATTAGGTGTTAAAACTACGGAGATATGAGTCTCATGGTGAGAGCTCCGTCATCACATGGAGCCCTGCCCTGGCCCAGGCTGCTGTGCCATCAGTTTTCCCTTCCCACGCAGTCACACAACTGCTTTTCTCCTCCAGCAGACCCCTAGCCTCCTGATATCCCACTGACCACATGCACGGGCTTTGATATACAATGGTGCTTGGTGCTCTCATGCTACAGTATCATAATATCAAATACATCAAGTATCACCAGTCCACTACCACTCCTTACATCAGTTTCATACATCGAGGTTTCTGGTTTTGCAGGTGAGGAAGCAACAGAAGTTGCTTCAGGTGATGGAGGATATGGAAATACCTATCTTCTTTACAGAGAAATAGGGATGTTTATAGAGTTATGTGTTCTGTATGAACAAACTTTACAAACTTATAGTAAAACTAAACTATTTTTAAAATCTTCAAAATCTACTTCCTGTGCACTTAAGAAATACTTAAACTAATTTAAAGCAGAATATCTGTGTACAAATGGAAAATTTAAAACTGGATGAAAAATTCAACAACCAATTTCATAAACACGATTGTACATACACACTGGATTTCTCTACTAGAAAAAAAAAAATAGTAGACTTTGGCTCAGATGCATTTGACCTTGAAGATTATTTCAGCTTTGTTGCAAGTTTTACAGAAGTTATTTCAGAGTACAGGCATATAATGAAAGAATAATATTCCTCTCTAATCCAGGAATATAGCTGAATATACAACTATTGTAGATACTTTGTAGGAATATAGGACAAATACCCAAATTATTATTGTGTACTACTGTGTTTTCTCCCCTTATCCCAGACTGCAACCACTCTTTTCCTCTGAAGAATAAGATTTGACAGCTCTTAATTATTTGAACAAGGTTGTTATATACCTACAGATGCTACTGCGGTTTGCACAAAACTTAATCCTTTTCTGATCCATATTAAGATATTAAGTTGCATTTAAATTATCTCCCCTCACAATGAGTTCTGCAGATTCATTAGATAAAAAAGCATTTTCTTTCTTCTATAGTCTTTTGTATTTGCTATTCTTCTTCCTGAAAAGTTAAATGCTTTTGGCATAGAGTTGTTTGTTGCAATACTTTCTAAGAGGAATATTTAGTGTTTACCATACTAGATATCACCCCTTTAAAATATATCACAGTCTCCTTTGCTTTATTGCATTTTGGTCTGAAGCTAAAAGAATAATTTCCAATTGCTATCGTTCTTTATACCTGAACACCATTTATTTTTTCACCATAAATCTCACCTGTATGCAGTGACCTATGAGTATAATAGCTCAAAAAGAACAAAAATACCAAAGTGAGTGGTTTTTACTAAAAATACCAAAGTAAGTGGCTACTAAAACCTCCAGTGAGTAATTTCCTGTTCCATCTAAGAGATTAAATCTGAGATATTTTTCTGTTTCCCACTAATAGCATGTGAATGGGTCTGTACTATGAACAATCAGAACACTGATTGCCATTCTAGATTGGACTCCAATAATGATAATTACTGTTATACCCTCAGTGAGTAGTAATTTAGGTAGTCAGGCCTACAACCAATAATTACTAAGTTCAGTATTTTCTTTAGCTGTTTGTTCTAAGAGTGTGCTTATTCATATATTTAAAACAGTCTTCACAGTTGCAAAGTTCAATAAGAATTAAATTCTCCTTTCCCTAGTGAATTTTTGTTTGTTTTCTAAGATCAGTTTGCATTGTATAGAGATGTAATTTCTAACTGTGTAAAAGCTTAGTTTCCAGAGAATGAGATGGATGTTTACAGAGACAATTCTGTGAACTACCTAATATCACAGAGAAGTATTGCAAAAAGAAAAACCCTCTATGTTCATTAATTCAAACCCTTTTAGTTCTTGTCCATTTTCAATACTTTCTTCCCATGACGACAGACTCAGTTTATTTTTGTTAAAATTCCACTCTCCCTGTGTAGTCAATCTAACTTTATGGCCAGTAAAATTTTTTATCACTTAACGGTTCCTTGGAAATCACTAATCTCAAAATTCTGTCCGCAGTAATTGAAAGGCTGATGTCATGTTACCTGTTGCATGAATTCAGCTTTGGAGAATGAATTTTAAACCCCTCAAAACTCTACATTCTGGAAGGTGCAAGTCTTTTCAAGTACTCTTTCTGATTATTTGCTGCATGGGCTAAGAAGACGAGGTCAGCCATGGGGAATATCTTTTGGAAGGAAACAGTACAGACTGTGAGCCTCTCATATTGTATAGGTGATCTCAAAATCAGAGGTTGCAAAAGTGAAGATATCTATGGACCATCTGGAGACAAACGTCAGATACAGACGGTCCATCTTGACTGAGTTATCAATTTAAAACTCTTAGCCTGTTTCAACAGACATTATATTTGTTAGCTTTTGTTCTTTTGAATAACATCTCTGAAGTTCATTGTGGGTGGCTTGAGAGCGTGTTGTGGCTTCCGATGGTGTGTGGAGTGAGCTTTCCTCACTCCAGGACCTGAAAAAGTCTTCCTTCTGTGGTCTTTCTGCACTAACATGTAGCATGCTGTACCATAATTGCAGGAACCAGGACTCCCATCCAGCCTAGTTGTACTTTTCAAGATACAGAATATGAGCCTGCAAGAAGTTATCTCCACTGTGAAAGAAAAATTAACTCTTTTCCTGATTATCACTGTTTAATAAAGACTCATGTTTATACCTCATGAAAAACTATGTATAACACAGAATAGTGCAGCATAATTTTCCCCACAGGGAAACAAATCTTTGGACAAGAATATTAGACTTACAAAAACACCCTTCATATTCAAACGTGCTCCTTCATTGCTAAGCAAACTCACAATAGACCATGTAAATTTGTTCTCCTGATAACCAGAAATATTTTTTATTTCCAATGCTGTACATCAGCAACTAATTATATGAAAGTCTTTATAACACAGCAGCTGAAAAAAATTCCAGAAGACTGGAGTGCAATAACCAGCTATTTCTCACTTACAGAAGAGTAGCACAACTGAAGTCTGTAGCAATGTGGTCCTTAAGAGAACAAAGCTTTTTTTCTAGGATAAAAAATATTATTTTTTCACTCTGAACTGAAAGCAGCTTTTCTCTATTTATTCAGCAAATTTAATGTTGAATTTCAGTTTAGTATGTTGAGGTTTTTTATAGACACACATATTTATGCAAGTATTCTTACACATATAAGATACTAATAGAAAAAAAAAATCTTACCCAAAAGCTTTTGTTGAGGATTTTTTGATGCTATAAAGGCATCATCCAATTCTAATTATAAAATTCTTCCATAAGCATCTGTTATGTTCTGTCATTTCCTCTTCCCTTTAATACCTCTGAGGTATTTAATATTAGGGAATAATTCCATCAGCTTCATTAGCTTTCTATGCCCTGTTTATCTTTATAGAGTAGTAGTTACACAAACATAAAAAAATATGCATTATGCCTTCCATTCTGCTTTCAAAATTGAAATAGTCTCTGTGAATGCATTGTACCGAATGTTTCTGTGCAATTACAGTTTTTATTTTATGTTTACTTAATTTCTATTTTAATACTATGTTATCTTCATCAGAATGCCCCTTAGGATAACTAAATATCTTCCCTCTTTTATGAACACTACCTCAAACATTAGATTTAAAAAGCAGTTTAGGAATCTGAAATTTCTTACTTGAAAAAAATTTAGGCAGCTAAGCCCCAAAGTTCAAATCTTACAAGCTCCACCTATTCTTGTCTGATGATCAGAAACCAGTTCTAATTTATTCATGTCTAGATGGCACTGAGATTACCAAATCCTGCTCAGACCTTGCCTCACACACAGATGGACACTTATGGTCCTCACAGAACACAAAGCAGCCAACAGAAGTTCATCTCAAAAACACATCTCTTCCCTTTGCCTTCCCTTGGTGACTCACTATTTTGAATGTTTTTTTCCTTTTAATTCTTTAACATTATTTGCTGATTCAAATGCTTAGCCAGGCTACTGGAAAAATAGTATCAAATTGCTTTTCTGGACAAGGCAGTTCAGGACTTTGCCTACTCTTTCTAAGAAAAAAGCACCTGTTTTGGAGGGACACTTTTCATCCTTCATGTGGAAGCTGCCCAAGGTATGAAGTAGTCACAGCATCAGTCATTTTTCATAATTAGTGGCTGGTTAGAGCATTTTGACTTTTTTCAGTATAAAGAAACAGTCTCATAGTAGACACTGCAAGGTCTGCTGTCTTTGCAGAGAAGTACCATTCCAACTACCAACTACATTGACTATTCCACTACATTTTTATTTCAGGATGTCTTCAATGGAAAACCATTACCTCAAAATGTGTCACATTATTCTTCCCAGAATACCACATTTATTCCAGGCTATTCGTTAATTTCTCATTTAATCTGATATGTAGAAGCAGGTCACTGACTTAGCTCTCCATTGCCAGCAGGATGTGCCCTGTCAGCTTATCAGGGAATTACAGCAATTGTTAGCCAGGAGACTGGAATCATGATAAGAAACATGGATTCCCATGCTTAACAGCACCTGGGATGATGGCAAAGTTTAATCACAGCCTTGATCCAGACTTTCACTTGCATATCGTCTATCAGTAGCTTCAAGGCACTCCTCTAGGAAATAAGTCTCTTAGTCTGGTCTTTAACCATTAAACTCACATAAAGGACTAGTGGCAGCACTACAAGCATCAGCTGCATTAGTATGACTCTAATGCAAGTGACATTACTGACCTGGGAGAGGAGCCCACGCATGTGGCACAGTTCTCTATCAGACCTGCTTTGAAGACGCAGGCAGAGGATTTTCTAGTTCTCCTCATTCCAATCAGGCTTAAACAGGACATAGGCTGAGATAAGTCAGGTGGTGCGGCTGAAGCCATATAATAAAGCAGAACTTTTCAGAATGAAAGGATAAGAAGTCTAGAGGATTTACACACCTAATGGGATTCTGCAGCAACTAAGCAAAAAAATTCTGCGTTGGATTTTGAAGTTAGATCAAATGCAGGCACCAGCTTCCTGCTTGAGGCATTTTGGCCTCTCTGGGGACGACGTAGGAGATTGTCAGGCTGAGAGCACGGCACTCCCACAAGAGGAGATCTGTGCATGTTTGAAGGGCCTTGCTGTTACAAGCACCCTGCACATGTTGCAGTGTTGTGTTGCACACCCTGGTGCAACAGGACAGACAGCACATGCAGCAGCCAGGCACACAATCAACATCAGCTCTACTCCATGTGTTTTCTGTAGGGTTTCCCTCATGCTTCTACCCCAAGCCACAATTCTGTAACCAATAAAAGAATGAAATAAATGCAACAGAAATGGCCGTGCTTCTTGATATTTCCTACCGACTAACATAAACATATGCCCCAGTTCCTTCCAAGCATGTGGGCCACTGGAGGTCCCGTTCTGGGCTCCTTTGCTCATCCTCTGTGTGACAGAGGGATCCAAAGCACCAAGCACAGGGGCCTGGGTTTCTTTCAGAAGGCCAGGTACACAGGAGGTGTTGTAATGTCAAGTGCTGGAAGATTTCTTCCATTTTAATATTTATGAGGAAAGAGGGAAGCCTTCTTTGAAGACCTAAGCAACTGACAGTGGATAAAGGAACTCGTCACTTGTGGTCAGAATAGGAAAATAGTAGAAATTTAAAAGACCTCTAATAATTTGAATGAGCTTTGGAGAATCATTTGGCAACATCTGTTTTACTAATTTATTTCACTTTAATGATGGGTTTGTGAACTCTAAAGAGAATTTAAAGATCTTTTCCCTACTGTTTTTAATTATTGAATACTGTATAGTATTTCTCTTCAAGCCAAGAGCAATAGAAGATCTCAGGAATATGCCATTGCTTACCAGGAGCTGATTCATGTTTTCTTTCTGAAGAAGGAGGAAAGAGAGCATCAACAGCAACTGAATATTATATTAGAGCTGACTGAATGTGGTTTTACTTCATATTGCAACACCCTAGGAGTATGTTTACAGACCATTACTACATCTCAACAAAGGAGAATCAAATTCTTAAAACACATTAATTTCATCATTCATGAACATTAGACCAGACCCATGGTCAGTTTTCCTCAGAGAAGTGGAAAAAAATGTATAACAAAAGTCACAGCCGCTACAAATGCAATGCGTCGCTAGCATACAGAATACGTGTTCGCCACTGACCTGAATGATTCCTCCTAGAAATGAAACTGCTGCTGCGACTCCAATCCTCTGCATTTCAAACTCTGATAGGCCCAAAACTCCTGAATTATTGTTTGCAGTGAAATTAGAGCTGACTGAAGGAACAAGACGCTCAACTGCATTGGCAGATATTAAGGAAGTTAAAGCAAAAGTTCCTATAAAAAAAGCCACACATTAGTCACTAATAAATCTATATCTGTTGTCACCCATCACTCATGGTCTCTTTTTCAAAACTTGCCTATTATGAGTAAAAGCGTCATTTTGTCATGATAAGAACAATTTTTAAGGTAATCTTTTTATCTAACACACATTTCTTCATGTAAAATGTCACTTGTACAGGTGAATTAAATGTAAATTTTTTTGTGAGCACATTCATTTGGACATGCTAACAAGAAAGGTTTTAATACAACAATTCACAATGATTTCAAGTTATCACAAATGCTTCTAACTCACCCTGGATGTGAAGAAACAGCTTTTTGTCTGAGAATCCGAAATGTTCACTATTCAAATTTCTAGGGCAATTAATTCACGCTATATATATATATATATATATATATAGTACCTTGCCCATTATAGTGAACAATATGTATGTTCGAAAACTCAATGATCTGCAACTCTGATAAATGGAGGCAGATTTTCAGAGAAACATTTTATTTGCCTAGAGAGGTAAAGCAAGTTTAATGACACACAGATAAATAAGGATGATAATTCAATATTAAAAAGCAGAAAGACATTCATGCAAGAGTTCTAAGAGCACAAGAAATGCCCTACTATGTCAGACCAGTGGTCCATCTTGGCCAGTACTCAGCCTCCAGCTGTGGCAGTCAGAGGTACCCAGGGAAAGCACACAAGCCCGGCCACTTTCTGT